ACTATTACATGGAAGACATGTACGTATGTATATAAATATGAACCTCCAGAAAAAACTGCTTAAGAAAACTAAAGAAAAAAACACTTACCTGTAAGGCAGGTACATATATATCTGTATGTATTAACATTATTTACCTGTATCTCAGGTACATAATTTAATGTGGGTGCTTATCTGATCGATTGGTATAACATGTGAGTCTTTACTTTTTATTGATTAAATTGTATTTTATCTATATATTAGGAATATTATCAAGGAAAAAAAATCAAAATTTGGAATTCAATTTCAAGGAAATAATGCATTAAATTTAGATTTTCAATGTGTTTCCTTATTTACCTTAAAGGGTAAAATCGGCACAACAAAAAAGTAATAAATGTCAAAGGACCTACATCTAAAACCAAAAACACGAGGACTAGACCCAATGACAGCTAATCGTTTTGATATCATTGGTTAAGTCCAGTATTTTTCCATCTCATGTCAATATTTTATTTTATTTTTTATTTTCTTAACAATAATCATATGCAAATTCCTAACTTTTTGCCTCAAATTGAAGAAAAACCCCAACTTTTTGCAAGAATTAAACCAGAAATTCAAACTCATATCAAGATCTAACCGATGATTAGTGTCCCATCTAAGGTCAAGAAAAAAAAAATCTAAACAAAAAAAAAAACACATCATTTGACATCTAACCCAAAAAAATCAAGACAACAATCATCAAAATATCAAAATAATTAACAATAGAATAAAAAACAAAGATTCGGGAAATCTGAAGCTTGTTTGAGTAAGGAGAGAGAGAATAGAAGAGAGGAGAAAGGAGAGAGAGACTAAAAAGAAAGAAGCACAAATAGTTGGCAATATGTGTTCATTAGTTACGGAACCTGATTTAACTATTTTCTAATTATTTGTGCCCCCAAAACAAGGTTCTTGTGGATCCAATTCCAGAAGTTGCTAACATTTGATTGTACCTTTTTGTACTTGGAAAATAAGTTGTCTCTTATCCACATGATGCTTTTCTGATGGCATGATTTTGTTATTTTCTACCCCTTTTACTTTATAAGTATTTAGCAGAACTATCCTTATTGAAATGGATATAAAAGAAATAGGTCAAGAAACGAGTATTCTTGTACAGGATGGAAAACATGTTATCCACAATGTCAATGTGATAGGTATTTGACAGTGATGCTTCTTTATGCAGACATGTACTTAGTTTAACCTTGTACCTTTTTTCAGGATAAGTGTTTCCTTTTTACCTGTATAACCTGTTTTGATAACTACGCTAGCCAACACATTTTCAATGTTCTTACGATTGACAGGGTGTATGCATAGGTTTGAGTGAAGTAATGGCAAGTGCTGGTATAAATCAGTTGAGTTTCATGGATGAGCTCATCCCCCTACATTTCCAACTGCTCTTTCTGATAGGTTTTTATTCTCTTTTATGATGTTTCTGATTTTACAAGTGTTTGTCTTGATTTTTTTAATGTCTCTCACTCCCTCTCTCTTACACCTTGTTTTGTGTATGCTTTTCTTTTTTTGTTGGGCTAAGTTGCTGCATTTTCTGTTTCAGTGTCGGGATTACTGCTGTTTTGCCCCACATCTTACCCAAGCTGCTCCACCTTCCACTTACGTATGTATTTCATTCTCAAAATTACTGTGTATTGAATGTCTTTTAACAAAGTTCCCCTTGGGATGCTGCTTGTTTACTGAAATCGTTTATATATCCAGTGCGTTTAATGCACATGCTCTTGGAGCTGCAGCTGAGGTTGCTGGACCTGGCCTTAACTCTCATCTTGGTACTGTTATTTCTGCTTTCCTTTCTGCAATGGGTGCTGATGAAAAGGTATGCTGTTGCAATTTGCAATCTTATGGCTTATTAAAGAACACAACTTTTTCTGTTTTTTGCCCCTACTGTTTCGTTTAGTAGGTTGTTGAAACACGTCTTACTGGTTGTACACTATTATTTAATATATGACACTGACTGGCTGGATGTTGTTGGAATCTAATCATGCTGAATTTGAAATATTGTTGCTAATTTTTTGGAAGTTCAAACTTCGGCCAGGCTGCTGAAACTGTGGTCTTAGTCACAGATGAGGAAGGTGTTGAATCTCTTATATCTGACCTTGTTAGAGCTGTCGGTGATAGTCAGGTATTAATCACTAACAAGGTATCATCCTGTTTATCTCCATCTCTCTCTCTCTCTCTCGATATTACACTCATGGTTTCAGGCCTCCATTAGAAGTTCTTCATATCGTATAGCCTATTTCTTCAAATTTTTTGGAAGTTCAAACTTCGGCCAGGGAGGCTGCTGAAACTGTGGTCTTAGTCACAGATGAGGAAGGTGTTGTATCTCTTATATCTGACCTTGTTAGAGCTGTCGGTGATAGTCAGGTATTAATCACTAACAAGGTATCATCCTGTTTATCTCCCTCCCTCCCTCCCTCCCTCGCTCTCTCACTCGATATTTTACTCATGGTTTCAGGCCTCAATTAGAAGAAGTTCTTCATATCTTATAGGCTATTTCTTCAAAAACAGTAAATTATATTTGGTTGATGAAGCTCCAAACAAGATATCTACCTTGATTGTCTTGCTCAGTGACTCAGATTCAGCTACTGTGGCGGTATGTGCTACGAGTATTTCATGCTCTGTTATTGACTCCAAGTATGTAACATTGTCTGTTATCTTCTAAATCAACGGTTTCTTGGGCAGCTTAGTTCAGAATATATTTTAATATTTAAATCGTATGGCCGCGCGGCTATACTCTTCGAATATATGCTAATATTTAAATAGTATAGCCGGTCGGCTATAAACTTTGAATATATCCGAATATTTAAATAGTCTCGCCGCGCGGCTACTCTTCGAATATGTGCTTGTATTTAAATAGTATAGCCTGGCGCCCATACTCGTTGAATATATCAGAATATTTAAATAGTATAGCCGACCGGCCATACTCTTCGAATATATTCTAGTATTTAAATAGTATAGCCATGCGGCGATACTCATTGAATATATCTCTGAATATTTAAAACGTATAGCCGGTCGGCTATACCCTTCGAATATATTCTAGTGTTTCAATCGTATAGCCGTGCGCAATACTCTTCGAATAATAGTATAGCCTGGCTATACTCGATGAATATATGTGAATATTTAAATAGTATAGCCGTACTCGTTGAATGTATGTGAATATTTAAATAGTGTAGCCGTTCGGCTATATCCGAATATTTAAATGGTATAGCCTTCGAATATATTCTAGTAATTCAATAGTATAGCCGGGCGGCTATACTAGTTGAATATATCTGAATATTTAAATACGGCTATACTCTTCGAATATATTCTAGTATTTAAATTTCGAATATATTCTAGTATTTAGATAGTATAGCCGTGCGGCGATACGTGTTGAATATGTCAGAATATTTAAATAGTATAGCCGTTCGGCTATACGCTTTGTATATGTACGAATATTTTAGGATACAGACTGGTGCTGGGTGAGCATAAGTGCATGATCCAGGATTGAGTTATCCCACTTACCAAACAGGTGGTTAGGGTTAAGTCCAATCACGCCCTCCTTATAAATATTTTCCGAAACCCTCTTCCACTATCGCTGCTTTGTACCACCCGCACTTCCTGCGCCGCCGCCCTTTGCCATCTCGCTAACCCTATCGCGCTCTTGTGCATCTTCTTAAATCTATCTCATGCGATGGGGTTAGTGCGTAAAGCTAAGCTGGTGTAAATTTTGTTCATCTTTTGAATAATTTCCCAGATCTGTTTTCGAGATTGTCATATTGATTATTCTTCTGGTTTTTATTTAGTATTGTCGAATTTTTTTTAAAACGAGCATCGGTGATGATTTTCTTTAATAGTTATCCTTGCACTATGATTGCCTGTGAAGAAAACCATGGGGAAGATATATTCTGAGATGCTTTTTCTTTTCGATTTGTTTTCTAGTTTTTATGGATGTTTTTTTAGTGGATCAATGATGTTTATCAATACTGCGTTATCTATCTGCAATTTCCCACAAGGAATTGAAGATAATCTGAAGTTACTGAGATCTGAAAATATTTTTTTCCTCTTTTTTTTTTGGTTGGTTTACAGCATCATTCAGTCATTTATAGCTTCATTTCCAGATGGTGGATTTGTGACCCAAAAGTCTTTGCATTATCAGTCCAATCGAATTTATATTGAATCGGTTGTCAAATTGGCTAATCTATGTTGGTTCGAACCACGAACACTAATAGCAAAACGAAACTGAATCGACTGATAAAAATATGAGCATAGCTCGAACCGGAACGAACGAAATTGGGTCTGCCTTGAACACCCGACAAAAAAAAAAAACAGTTGAAAGATGGGTCAATTGACCCAATAGACACATGGGGCGGTTCTCTTGAAAGTCTACATTTTTTATCATCTAAAATTTGCAATTTTCTCTATATCATTTGCCAAGGAAATTCAAATAATAATATCCTTTTACCATTGTAAATAAAAAATGAGAGATACTCCTTATGTCAAAATCAAGTTTCACATAGCTCGAGTTTGATGCTCAAATCGTGACCCCTTATTGATGAGGCTAACGCTTATAATCTAGGTTAGGTCGATCACCGTTACGTGTAAGTCTTGTGTTTGGAATGTATAATGATTAAACTTGCTTTTGAATTGCGACGATTAAATAAAGCTAAAGATTTTTCCTCTAAGGCTAATGGTAAAGTCACTTTATACAGTCTTGTACGAGAATTTAATTTATCACCTATTATATATAGGCTTATCTATGTACATGTCCCCTGTGCTTTTAAACTTGTCTCAGATTACCACTTGTGTTTGCAATTGTCTCAAAATGCCCCCCAACCTTTGAAAAACAGTCTCAATTTACCCGTTTCGTTAGTATTTTTGACGTTCCGTTACGAGCATTGGGCCCCACTTCGTTTTAATCTTTAACCTCTGCGAATAAGGGTTTTTTCACTTTCAGAAGAGAGGAAAGAAGATAGTTTTTTCACTTTCAGAATAGAGGAAAGAAGAGAGGAAAGAGGATATTTGGGTGAGAAAGGGGAATTTGGAGAAGGAGGCTAGGGCTTATCAAAATCTAAGGTGGGGTTCGAATTTTGGGAGAATCTAGAGAAGAAATCACTGTTTGGTGTTAGACTTTAAGGCTAGAAAGTGCGAAGATGGTGGTGCTTAGAGAATCTGAAGGTTGTCAACTCATATGTAAGTGGACCCAATTCTCACTCGATTTTCTTGATTTTGGCATGTGCATTGTACTGTTGTTCGAGTTTTTTTTGTTTTTTTGTATACTTTTTGACTCTGTGTTGGTTCTCTGTAAATTTGGTTGAGTTGGTGTGTTGGTTTAAAGTAGAGAGAACTCGTTATAAAAATCTCAATACTCTCAATTTTTGAGGGAGCATCTCTTGTGATGATGATGATAAAGGTTATATGGTATGAGGGATGTGGTTTAGTCTCATAAATCATAAAGGGGAATATTCTCTTTGCTGCTCTTTTCTGCACTAATACTTGTACCTGCAGGTTAGGCTTGAAGTGATGGGAAAGAAGGGAAAGAATGCAACCAACATTTCTGGAAATGCGGCTGGGAAAATTTCCAAAGAGATTTAGAAAGTGGAGAAGAGAAGGATTGTTAAGAGTACTCTTTGCAATGAAAGAAGTTCTCGGAGCCATTGCATGGTAGGATTCTCTTGGACTTTCAAATATATGATAATTCTTCCCCATGTCTTGTCACTAGTTGGATATAACTTGCTTTCTATTTCTGCACAGATAATCCCTGATGTCCCAATAGTAGGAGGACGCTTGATGCTTGTGGACATGGCTGGCTCTGAAAATATTGAGCAAGCTGGCCAAATTGGATTTGAGGCAAAAATGCAGGTAATGTCTTGGTGGTGCTTAATTTATGCTGATACTGTATGCAGCACTTTCATTGTCATTGTAACAAATGTTTAAATTATGGTTATATTGAATTCACGGACGGCAAAGATCAACCAAGGAAACATAGCTCTCAAAAGAGTGGTTGAATCCATTGCCAATGGTGATTCTCATGTGCATCCCTTTAAAGTGTGGCAATTGCGGTGGAGAAGGGCATAATTGAATTAGTTGCAAGGTATGTGTCATTATCCAAAATTGCTTTACATTTTAATCTATTTCATTTGGTTTCTGACTTGATGAATTTGCTTATTAGGAACCTAGAAATCCCAACATAAAGCCTATTATGAAGAGAAAAGTTGCCAAGGAAAAACTTCCAGTAAGTGCCACGGTTTCAACTATGTTTTCACCATTCAAATTTTCATATCATGCATACCTTATTTTTATTTGTTTTAGGTAAGAAGGAGAGATGCTGGAGACCAAAGTAGCGGACAACAAAGTATGCAACTAAGGCAAAGGAGACAAACTAGTGCTTCCCCAGGGCCTTCTCAATCCCAAGCATTTGAAGTATCTGAGGCTTCTCAATCCCAACCATGTCAACCAGCGCAGGCTTCTCAATCCCAACCATCTCAAGCAGTTGATGCTTCTCAATCCCAACCATCTCAAGCAGCTCAGGCTTCTCAATCATGTGATTCATCTCAATCTGCCAAACTATCTCGAGTACAACAACGTAGGAGGAGGATGAAAGATCAACAAAGAAGCCATTTTGTCAAAGATCCTTTTTTTCATCCTTAGATGTGATGATGTTGAACTTTTGCAACCTATTTTTGAATTAGGATAAACTTTTTTTGAATGGTTTTAATGTTGTGGAATTATAGATTCTGCAATTAGTTAGTTTTATTAGACTTTAATGATTTGATTATGGTTGCAATTGGGTTGTTGGTTTGTGGGATTATTGATGTATGTGATGGTTGGTTTTATTAGGCTTTCATGTCTGTCAAGGTTTTTGAGTCAGGTACATGGCATGTAATTGACCATTTGATATGTAATGTGATGGTTGAAACCTGTTCTGGTGTTGTGCTTATATTGATCAGCTATTGAGATTTAGCCATTTCATATGGCATTGAACAAAAAATGCTTATGAGTAACTTGTTTTTGGTATCCGATGAACAAGATATGCTTATGAGTAACTTGTTTTTGTAACTTGTTTTTGGTATCCAATGAACAAGATATTGTTGCAACCTATTTTTGGTATGATGCTTATCAGTATGTCACCATTTGTAACCTTTAAGCAAGTTACCATTCATATCACAGATCAAAGAAAACTCTGAACTCTAAACAAATTACAATGAACAAACTTAACTACTGCCACATTAACTTACATTACATTACATTACACCAAATTACATTACATTAAACCAACTTAACTACTGTCAAAGTGCCTTACATTACATTACCATTTGTTCTCAAATTACATTGCCCATTGAACTACTGCTTCTCAATCACATTACACCCACAAAATTACAAAACATATTACTCTTAATTCCTCCTACTTCCTCCCAATTCATCTTCATGGCAAACACCACCAACCAGGAAAGCAACATAGTAGCCCACAATATTTTTGACTTTGCTCGAATCTTTGCATTTTCCTTCTCCACCTATCAATCTTCCTCAGCAAACCAGGTATCAAAGACTTTGAACGCTCACACATTTCTGCATCAAACCACTGAAAAAACCTACATCCTTTTTCTCCACTTCCCTGTATCAACCAAGAACAATGACTCAAAATTTCCTTTTGATCAATGACTGAAAATTTCATCAATAAGAACTCTATCAATTTGTGATGCCCAAAACAATGACTGAAAATTTGATCTTAAACATGCTTACCTTTGACTTTGGGCAGACTAGAAATCTCCGCCCTGGGTTTGAACTGGTCCAAGAAGTCTGCATCCGTGCTAACTTCCCACAATGACACCATTGGGCATGCCTTGCTTCTCCTTGCTTTTCTCCTGTTTCCATAAACTCAAATCTTCTACTCTAGAATCTCCCAATTTCAAACTCCATCTCAGAGTTTTATAAAGCCCTAATTTCTTCTCTAGATTCTCGAAGCCCACCTCTGATTTTCACAAACCTTAAGAGCAAGTCCACCCATGAAGGCTAAGGCAAGGCAAGGGCTGCCACTATTCACATGAATAGTGGCAGCCTTGCCTTAGTTGGTTCCACCCTTGGAAGGCTAGGGCAAGGGCAAGAAAAAAAAAAAAGATTATGCAACAAAATATAAACAATTTAGAAAGTGAATAAAATTGTTATGTATTTATAGGGAAAACATCCATAATATTTTGGTTTTTTTTATAAAAAAAGTTTGAATTTTTTTGGTTTTTTTTGAATTTTTTTTGAATTTTTTTGCTCGCTGACGTCAGCGCGTTCGGGCTTTAGCCCAGGCAAGATTTGCCCGTGGGCTTGCCCAGGCTGGTGGGTCCCATGCCTTGCCCGGGCTTGTTCTCTACCGCTGGAGTCGAATTGGGCTTGCCCGAGCAGCCTTTTGCTCGGTTTTGCACCAACGCTGGACTTGCTCTAAGCCCTCTTCTCCAATTTCCCATTCTCACCCAATTTCCCCCTCTCTTTTGAAAGTGAAAAACCCTTATTCGCAGAGGTTAAAGATTAAAACGAAGTGGGGCCCAATGCTCGTAATGGAACGTCAAAAATACTGACGGAACGGATAAATTGAGACTATTTTTCAAAGGTTAGGGGTATTTTGAGATGATTGCAAACACATGTGGTAATATGAGACAAGTTTAAAAGCACATGGGGCATATACATAAATAAGCCTTATATATATAAACATCGACGCAACAAATTTAACAATTATTTATTTAATTTTTTAAAGCATAATAAAATGCGACATTCAACTGATAGAGTGCCGATTCTTGTGCTAGGGACGCTAGAGGTCGGTTTTCAATGCCAGATTGAAACATTAAAAACTGTATCTGTCTTTGTTCCCAAATTTAAAAAAGGAGCCAAAATTCCGGGCACCCAGCTGTTTTTAAAATTTGAATTTCAAATAAAGGAAGACAAAATCCTCCACCAATCCCACCCTAAAATCTGAACCGTCCATTCTCAATCCCCTTAAACAAATACCCCTACTCATTTCCACCCATTCAAACAAAACTTCCCGCTTCTCCATTCAAATCCAACCGTTGCCTCTCCAAAACCAACTTTTCTATAAAAGATCGCCTCCGTCCCCACCCCCGGACCCCATTCATTTCTTTCTCGTATCTCTCTCTCTCTCTGCGATTTTCTCAGAGAGACCAAAACCCTAAATCCGCTTTTCGATTTTCTTCGCCTTTTCGATTCAAAATGCGTGAAATCCTTCACATCCAGGGAGGCCAGTGCGGCAACCAGATCGGTGCCAAGTTCTGGGAGGTGGTCTGCGCCGAGCACGGCATCGACGGCACCGGAAGGTATGAGGGAGACTCAGAGCTTCAGCTTGAGAGGATAAATGTCTATTATAATGAAGCTAGTTGTGGGAGGTATGTGCCCAGGGCTGTTCTCATGGATCTTGAGCCAGGGACCATGGACAGCGTCAGATCTGGACCTTACGGTCAGATCTTCAGGCCTGACAACTTCGTTTTTGGCCAGTCTGGTGCCGGGAACAACTGGGCTAAGGGCCACTACACCGAGGGGGCTGAATTGATCGATTCTGTGCTCGATGTGGTTCGCAAGGAAGCCGAGAATTGTGATTGCCTACAAGGTATTTGATGAAATTCCTGAATGGCTTGCTCTCATTTATTTTCTTTTGTTTTATTGGTACATGGTATTTAGGTTGGGTTTGTTTCGAATTGTAGGGTTTCAGGTGTGCCATTCCCTAGGAGGAGGAACTGGGTCTGGAATGGGAACTCTGTTGATTTCAAAGATCAGAGAAGAATACCCAGATAGGATGATGCTCACTTTCTCTGTGTTTCCCTCCCCCAAGGTCTCAGACACTGTTGTTGAGCCCTACAATGCAACCTTGTCAGTGCATCAGCTTGTTGAAAACGCAGACGAGTGTATGGTTCTAGATAATGAAGCTCTTTATGACATTTGCTTCCGTACGCTCAAGCTCAGCACTCCAAGCTGTAAGTTTCTCAGTTAATTGTTCTCTGATATTTAGGTTTGCTTATTTGTGGAATTTGGGATACTGATTTTTGTGTTTGTACAGTTGGAGATCTGAACCATTTGATTTCTGCAACTATGTCTGGTGTCACATGCTGTTTGAGATTCCCTGGTCAGCTCAACTCTGACCTCCGAAAGCTTGCCGTCAATCTCATCCCCTTCCCTCGTCTCCACTTTTTCATGGTGGGTTTTGCTCCGTTGACATCACGTGGCTCACAGCAGTACAGAGCCCTCACTGTGCCTGAGCTCACCCAGCAGATGTGGGATGCCAAGAACATGATGTGCGCAGCTGACCCTCGCCATGGCAGATATCTAACTGCCTCGGCCATGTTCAGGGGCAAGATGAGCACCAAGGAGGTTGATGAGCAGATGATCAATGTTCAGAACAAGAACTCCTCTTACTTTGTGGAATGGATTCCGCACAATGTCAAGTCCACTGTCTGTGACATCCCCCCCACTGGCTTGAAAATGGCGTCCACTTTCATTGGAAACTCGACCTCAATTCAGGAGATGTTCCGCCGTGTGAGCGAGCAGTTCACTGCTATGTTCAGGAGGAAGGCTTTCTTGCATTGGTACACTGGTGAAGGCATGGATGAGATGGAGTTCACAGAAGCTGAGAGCAACATGAATGATTTGGTTTCAGAGTATCAACAGTACCAGGATGCCACAGCTGAGGAGGATGAATATTATGAGGACGAAGAGGAGGAGGAAGGTCAGGAGGTGTAATGTGATGTTGACTAATGTGAATTGCCGCAACTTCCGGTTGCCGGAGTATGGCAAAGTGATCAGTTGTTCGTGGTAGCTGTAGGTCTTAATATTGTTAAAAACAAACTTGTTATCCCAATTTCGTTTCTCTGTTGTTATGTACTTTTTTGGGTAAACTGAGATCTTCTATATGGTGATATTAATCCTTTTTAAGCACTAGCATGCGTTGCCATTTCTGAACAAATGGCATGTGTATTGTCTTCACTGCCATTTCTAAACAGATTAAGCGCTTTAATCTTTGGCTCTCAGCCCAAGTTTCAACGGGTAATCTTCATCATCCGGTAGATTCATCTTTCTGTGAATTGCTATCATGTTTTTCTGTTAAATCCAAAATTTTGCAGGTTTGTGTTTATTCTTTTGTAGTGACATGTAAAATATGTAAGGATTGAAGCATCAATTGTTGAGTCTTTGCATCCTTGATAAAGGCATATGCCATCACGAGTATTTTTCAGAAAGGCAACATCTCTCAGCCCAAGTTGTAATGGGTTGGCAGTGATGAGTATGAAGTTACGGTTCTAAGCCTACAAAGCGGATATTATGTATTCCATTCTAAGCAAATTACATCTTTAAATCTTTGGCTCTCAAGTGCTAGCCTGAGTTTGAATGGGCTGGAAGTTGAGACTAATTTACTTGCAGTTAGAGGCCCTCATGCTTTACCAAAAATGACTGCAAAGTCTTGCTGGAAATTGAAAGGGCTTTGCTATCTTGGACATAAGAGAAGGTAGAAAACTGGATTTCGGAC